GCAGATGTGATAACCGCTACACCACGGAAACTCATGATAGCAAAATCGAAATTATAGATCCCTACATAACGGTACTCCGACTTCAATATGACATTGACATTCTGATTACGATTACTTTGCGCACAATGTGCGAGCTCCCTCTACGCATCGCAAGAACTTGCGAATTGACTCGCATCGCGCATCAAAATCTTATCTTCCCAAAACTTTGTTTCTTTTTCCTGTATCTCATAAGCACTAACAGAAGTGCACACTTCGTTTTACGATCCATGTCACGACCTAGTTCTCAATTTAAAATAGGTACGTTTAGTACGGTTGACGGTCGTCGAAGGAATTGTCACCCTGGGCGACGCCATGTCGTACGAAATCGCATTGCAGCAATTCGCATCCAAATTTTCTACGTTGCGAATTCGCATCGCATCGCAGTTTGTGTTCGTACACAAACGTTCGTACGCAAATAATCTCTATGGGCTCGTGCCCTTATTTTCTCAGTTTTCCTGCAAACTGAACACCAACAAACCAACTTGCACTCATATTAAGTATTTAGATATCAGATGTGCACATACTTAGTATTGAAACGTAGATAACTATTACCTACTAGCTAAGGGCCAATTTTTTAATCAGTTAATTCGTAACTGTTAAAATTTATGTGGCGTTGGGAAAATCGGTCCAGGGTAGATAAATTTCAACTGAGGAATAACTTTAAATAGGTGTTTGACAATAATAAATAAAAATCATTTATTTCAGACCACAGAGTCCATAGGCACATCAATTTTGTTAGTAGTTTAGTACCTTATATTGTGAATCTTATATAGCTTTAAGCAAAAGTGTAGGTATATTCCTAGACTATTATGTTTGAAAATAAATTTATTATATCGAGGGGTAACGGACTATCATTTTATATTGAGTTATACCTTTATATATTTGGAATCAGCGATTTTTTCTCCGTCGAATATATAATATAATAACTCAATATCGCCCAAAATGTCGCTTAAACCAAATAGTCCGTTACCCCTCGATATTATAATTATAATATAGTTATCTTAGTACTGC